GAGCAGAACAGGTAGAAAGTTGCATCACCAGAGCATATACAACTAAACTGATTCAGATACATTCATTTCTCTGACTGTGATCATACTTGCAGATCTTTTGAAATTCTGCCATTAATTAACACATCACCATGAAATTCAACAAGGCCAAGTGCAAGGTCCTGCACCTGGGCTGGGGCTATCCTAAGCACAAAGACAGACTGGGCAGAGACTGGATTGAGAGCAGCCCTGAGGTGGACTCGAGGATGTTGGTTGACGAGAAGCCCAGTGTAAGCTGGCGTTGTGTGCTTGCAGCCCAGAAAGCCAACCATATACTGGGCTGCATCAAAAGGGGCATGACCAGAAGGTCGAAGGAGGTGGTCCTGCCCTTCTACTCTGCTCTTATGACACCCAACCTGGAGTACTGCATCCAGCTCTGGGGCTCCCAACACAAGGATGTGGATCGGCTCAAGCTAGTCCAGAGGAGGCCACAAAGATGACCAGAAGGATGGAGCACCTCTTCTATGGAGAGAAGCTGAGAGAGCTGGGCTTAATCAGCCTGGAGAAGAGGCTCTGGAAGGACCCTATATAGTGTATATATATATATAGTAGCCTTCCAGTAGCTAAGGGGGAACTACAAGAAATCTGGAGAGGGACTTTACAAGAGCATGTAGTGACAGGACAAAGGAAAAATGGCTTTAAGCTGACAGAGGGGAGATTTAGATTTAGACATTAGAAGCAAATTCTTTACTATGAGGGTACTGAGACACTGGAACAGGTTGCCCAGAGAAGCTGTGGATTGCTGCATCCCTGGAAGTGCTCAAGGCCAGGTTGGATGGGACTTTGACCAGTGTGGTGTAATGGAAGGTGTTGCTGACAATGGCAGGGTGTGTGGTAGTACATGAGCTTTAAGGTCCCTTCCAATTCTAACCATTCTATGATAGAAAAACTTTGCATGTGTGTCTGTGTGCAATACTCTCTAAAATGAACTGGACTACAGTAAGTGTTTTTCTGTCATCTTCAAGTGTGCAGCTTAGGTAGAAGAGGTTACAGGAACAGTGTTTGATAATGCATCTTCAAGGTGAATTAGTTATTGGTGTAAGTCTGAAAAGTCTGAAATGGAGTTGGAATAACATGAAGAGTGCTTAGTCATTAACATTAACCAAAAGTACAGACCAGGATGAAAAGAAAATCAAAATATTTCAGCCTTTTCAGACAATATTAACATACCCTAGACAGCTAAGCCAGCATGAATTCATCCTCTTTGGAGCTGTATCCCATCTCACTAGTGTTGTCTAAAGTTGAACACAATAGTCCTGACATAAGAGTTCACTGCGTTTCCAGTAAACAAGAAAGGACTTTCAACACTTTTTGTCCCCAGTGATCAATACTGAGTCTAAAAGAAAAAAAGAGAAAGCACTGTATGTAGTTTGTTTACCATCAATTTGCATTCCTATTCAAGACAGCCATCAGAAATGCCTGCTGCTTCTTAAAAAAGCAGAGTGTAAGCAGGACATATTTATTTACTTTGCAGATTTTCTCCTATATATACGTAACGAGGCAAGAAAAAAATTTAAAAAGTAGAATTTGAAGTGAACAGCAGATACCTACAAGAAGATACTTATTGTACAGCTCATGGTACAGGAATAACCAGATGGTTATCATCTGGTAGCTGAACGGAAAGGAATAATACTGTCACTGCAGTGGAGAGTGTCTCAGGGTGTTTGTAGAAGAGGCACAGCCTTTACAACTGACTAGATTATACACATACTAGCACAACAGGTTATGTGCCAAACATACTTATTCCTCCTGATAGTATGCGATCACTTTGGATTTGTTCCTAAGGACACTGGGCTTACAAATTTTTCTTTTCCTTACTTTTTCAGTCTCTCTTTTTTTTTTTTTCTTTCCCCTCTGGCTTTTCACAGCTGCTCTGTCCCTCAGGTTTTGAACAGACTTGTCAGATTTCATTGCAACTGTCTTAGGGGAGTTAAGTCTCTAATATGTTTGCTGGTATATACTTCATGGAAGTCTCCTGTAAAACAGAGACTCACATCTCCATCCCACTGGGAAAATACCTTTGACATACATTGAACAGGAGCCTGTTTGATTTGTTAGCTGTATAATCACCACATGTAGCTCAAAATCAGCACGTGTGCACACCTTCACAACGTTGCCTTCTGGTAAAAACATGAAGCAGTAGGACTAACTGGGCAGAGAAAGCTAAGGAATTATGAGGGGGAATGGAAATGACAGGAGCTAAGGGTATTTTGACAGGGATGCATTGGCTCAGTTCACTTCCACAAATGCTCAGTGCTGTGAGAGCTGTTACAGTGGATGGCAAACAGTAAGGCTGCTTTAGCAACAGAAGATATTGGGATCTGTACAGCTGGGCTGAACTTGCATGCAATTCTTACCTTAGGATTTTTTTTCTGATTATAATTGTGAAGTATTGACCTGTTATTGTACAGGCTGACTAATTTCAGAAGTAATTACCTCCTGAGCATTTCAGGTTGCAGATACATTACTGCATGAGCAGTCCTATCCCCAAATGCTTGTGTCTGCCTTCCAGACTCTTCCCTGCTGTGCTGACATAGTAATTCAGTGTGGAGAACTCAAGATGTGAGGTGATCCAGCTAAGAGATAATCCATCCTAAGAAAAAGTGTAGCTTTTTCAGCTGGATCAGTCTCCCCTATGTTTAAACTGTGCCACTGCTCCAAAATCAGTTGTGACTTTTCTTCCTCAGTCTTTTGGGTCTAACAAAAGCTATTTAAAAGAGACAAGTTTTTAAGGATGAAAGTCAAGCGTTTCTTGAAAAGTAGGCAAGTGAAAGAAGTGGGAGCAGTGAAGACTATACAGAAATTTTCCTCACAAATTTCAATCACCTGAATATTTACTCCCAAAGAAAAGGCCTTCTGACCCACTCCTTTTAATTTATTACTGCCAAATTGTTCTGCTCTCTGAAACCCCATATGAAATGTAGTACAGGGTGCAATGTGATGTGTTTCTGCTGATGCCACTCAGTAGTCACTCTCCCACACACGTACTGACACAAAGGTGGAAAAAAAAAACACATTCTTTCTCACAAATTCTGCAAATCTAATGCAGAATGTTGTGAAGAATATGGTAATGGATGTCCCAGGAACGTACAATCTCTTTACTCCCTCCAGTACTGTCTCACATGTCCTTTTGCCACTGTTCTGGTACAAGATCTATTATGTTTCTAGTTCATCAGTATTTGCAGGCTTGAAAGTATTTAGGTGGAAGGTACAGTATGAATCGTTGTCATTAAAAACTAGTGGAAAACAGACAGAGGTGGTCAGCAAAGAAGGATTTTGGAAAGCAAACCACTTCTCCTGCCTTATTATTTTCAGAGGTTAACATGCATCTAGGTAAACCTGTGGATCTTCCAGAATTTCTCACCTTTCTAAGGGAGAGCAAGTCACTCTAGGAACGCAAATGTGATGCTTGATTGTGTTATTATAGGAGCATTACTGTTCCTCAGTAATGTTTCTCAGACTTTTTCCCCCATTCATCCACATTGTTTCTATAATAAGAAGCCTTAGCTGAGGGATAGCTCTTGCCAGTTTTAAGAAGTAAGGGTCGTAGGCATGAATAACTGAGTTCTTTAGTTCATAATGCTGTCCTGGGTTCAGCAGTAGCCATCATGTTTCTCCTTCTTGGTAGCTGGTGCAGTGCTGTGTTTTGACTTTTGGCTTGGGAACAGAGCTGGTAGCGATGTTTTGGTTTGGCCAAGGACTTCGTAGAGCCATGCTCTACCAGGGAGGAGGGGAAGCCAGGAGGAAGCAGAGACAGGACACCTGACCCAAACTGACCAAAGAGGTATCCCATACCACAGCACGTCATGCCCAGGATGTAACTGGGAGTTAGCCGGAAGGGCTGGGAGACTGCAGGGTTGGAGGAGGTATGGGTCGGTGCTTGGTCAGGCTTGGGGGGCGAGTTATCGGTTGGCTGGTGGTGAGATGTTGTATTCTCTTCCCTTGTTATTTCCTTTATCATTATTATCATTGGTGGCAGCAGTAGTGATTTGTGTTATACCTTAGTTACTAAACTGTTCTTATCTCAACCCGTGGGAGTTGCATTCTTTTCGATTCTCCTCTCCGTCCCTCCGGGAGTAGGGGGAGGGAAAGAAGGGAGGGGAGTGAATGAACGAGTTACCTGACTGGATTTAAACTACGACAAATGCTTATTAGAGGGAATAATAGAAATTCATCTGTTAACATTAAAAATGTGCATCATGCTAGAAGCTTCTGATCACAGGACTGGGCAAAATTCTAGCTGTGCTTAACAGAACATAGCGTTTTACTGAAACAGCATAAAGGGGGGGCTTCTGTTTAGCTTCCCCCCCCGCCCCCCCCCCCGATTTCTCCTAAAAGAGATGTCAGAGCCTGTAAATAATTTAGCCTAAATACATGTATTCACTTTTTTTTCTGGAGCTGCAGGCACAAAACTAACGAATTCTTGTAATGAAAAGCAGAAAACTTTCTCTGAGGCATATTTCAAGTAACTGTGGTTAAAACCAATTTGTATCATTAAGTGTTACAGTCACAGGGTTGAAAGATAAATGTGTGGAAGAACAGGAACACAGAGAAAAAGGAGAGGAAATGAACAGGTCAGAAGTGCCCTTGGGTCAGATTTTTGGATCCTGAACAGCCTGATACAAATTTTGGTGTAGCCGATGAGTCTCCCCATTTCAGTGAATACATCTGTAATGAATTCATAACAGATTAATACAGCGAAACCTTTGCATTTCTACACATCATGGTTGACGTACAAACAATCCGCTGACAACCCTGAAGCACCGACTTTCCACTTGAGCGAGCCTGGGGGGAGGGAGGGCCTATCGTTCACCCCGCGACGCAAAGGCATCGTGATTTGGAAGGTGGGGAGCAGGGCTGGAACCCGGACAATAAACCGCTACCAACCGGGCCGGGTGGGAGCCATGCCGGAGGAGCCAGGCGGGGCAGTGCCGCAAAGGCGGAGCCGCAAACGCCGATAAACGCACCTGGCAGATGCGTGGAGCGCATTTGAAATCCTGTCTCGGCAAGGGCTTGGGAAGTTGCGTGCAGCTTCAGGGGCCGCAGCAGTACCCGGGCCGGCGCTTCGCGGCTCCCTGTGCGGGATTCGGGGGCCACAGAGCAGAAATTAGGGACTCCGGCTGCGCTGCTGTCTGTGCCCCAGAAATCCCCTGGGGCTCATGGAGTTCGCCTTTTGCTTCTCAGCCTGCTTTCACAAGACGTTCCCGCTCGCAGGTTTCGGTCTCTCACTGTTGCCAGCGCCCCTTCCCCTCCTTCCGAGCATCCCTGTGCTGGCGTAGTCACATGCTTAGGCTTCGATGCCTGTAATCCCACCCTCACTGCCCGAGAAGGAGGAGGAAAATGTGCGGGAGAGAAGTGAGCAGCCAGCAGAGTGGCAATACAAACAGAAGGCGGAGATGCGCGGCGGGAGCAGGGGGCCGGAGTGGCGGTGGCCCGGCTCTCCCGCGGGCGGCAGGAAACCTCCGGGGCGTTTGGCCGGGAAAGGGTAAATTTCTCGGCGTGCTTAGGGCTGTCCCGGGGGTCTGGGTTTCGCGTCTCCAGCGGGGCTCGGGGCGGGCGCGGATTGAGGGCTGGGGGCGCTTTCGTCCCGTCGCCTCCCCCAGCAGTAGGGGAAGCGAAGTGCGGGGAGACGCGGAGTTAACGGGATTGTTATCAGGGAATAGGGACATGTTTTAATAGAAACGGATGGACTTGGCTGCTGGAGCTGAGGCACCCGGGAGAGGGGGGAAGTGGAAAGCGGGAAGCCGCCGGCGAAGGAGGGAATGTTGCGTGCTTGCTCTGAGGATGTGGCACTGTGTAGTGACAAGCAGAAGAGAGAGTGGCCAGAGCCTGGCTGGCTCTAAGGAAGTGGCCCTTTTGTTATTAAGGAAGGTGAGTTAAACTTTTTTTAAGGAAACGGGAACAAAACCCGACCATCCTCTGCTCTGTGCTTGGTCCCACCCAAAGCAGCCCTCTGCTGAGGTAACAAGCATGGTCAGAATTGCTGTGACGGTCAAGAGGCTGGGCAAGGGGGTAGAGAACTGGGCACATGCAAATACCATCCCTGGCTCTGCTGTTTGGCAAGGAGGTCAGAGGGTGGAGGTGGGGTCAGCTTTTCTTACCTAACGCCCTCTCTTCTTTGACCATCATCTCTAAGGTAACTGCTAGTAATCCCAGTGCTTTAAGGGTCACCTTGTGCTACCTGGCAGCTCTCCCAAAGGGAAAGAGGAGCACCTAAGTGCTGAAGTCAATGACATTTAAAATCATAGACTGTGGAGGAAGTTTGCAGCTGTCCTGATGGTTCAGCAAAACATGAAACTATACCAGTGTGCATTACAGGTCTGTAGGCTGCCTTGCCCTTACACACTTACTGAGAAAGTCATTTTAGGTACAACTATAGGGCAGCCATAAAGGCTTCCCAGGTTCAGGAAGCGCTTTGCAAGCACAGAGACCAGGAGAAACACCCTCCTGTATGTGTGAAGTCTGCTGCTTTCTTGTCTATCCAACAAGGGCAACAGTAATTGTATAACAGGAAATATATTTTTGTCTGTTATACAGTCTGTTATATATGTCTAATATTGTATAACAGACTGTATATTTTCTAGTTACTGTATTTATCCTATTTTCTTCCCTTGGGGCTCAAACAGATCGCCAGTATCCCCTAGAACCAGGGCATCCCATTTACCATGCATTGCTGTGCAGGATAAAGTCTGCTTCATACATTGTTGTGGGAGGGGAGGAAGGCCATGTATTCCTCAAAAACAAGTGGTGAATACAAAGAAAAAAATCTGTAGTGTTATTTAACATTAATAGCCATAAAAAAAGGAGGTGTTGAAAGAGGAGTGCTGTTTATCAATATGACTAAACAATTTTTCTTTCAAACGGAGGTTAGAATCACAATATTCTGGTTGTCACCTTGTACTGTGTCGCATTTTGGTTGTTGCATAGACCTATGCCCACTGGAAACTCACAGCCTTCTTATGAAGGACCTGTCCTCAGAAAAATAATATCCTATTTCCTTATCATCCTGCTTTGTTCTTTATAGTTGTAAATAAGAGTAAAGCTGTGACGTTTTCTGAGTTAGCAGCCATCACTACATATGTTGCCTTTTCTCTCCCCCTCCCCCCTTTCATATACCCACATCTCCAGGTCTACTGTCAATTATTAGAAGTCATCACTGAGGGTTAACTAAAAGGTTTTATTAACTATTAAATGATTATCAAATTGTAATTAATCCATGATTGATAATTAAATGTCATTCAAATGATGATTAAACAATAACTGAAGGATAATTAAACAGAGATTTAATAATGATTTAACAATAATTATCAATAATTAAGCTGTAACAGAATGCTAATTGGATGATGACCTAATTGGTGATTTCAGCAATGATTTAAACAATGGTTAGATGGGGGTTAAATAGTCTGCCACTTACTACACTTCTAATACTTACACTCTACCTGGACATATAAATACTCTAGCATAAAGTACACTTTTAGGCCTAATGTAAAATGTGTTACATCATTTTAGATACCAGGTTATGGGTAAGGTGTCTCTCAATCTCAAAAGAGTACCAGTGTCCCTGCTTAAGAGGAACTGGCTCAGGGGGGCTACATATATATCTGTATGTTGAAGTGGTTGACTCACAACCAACCCCATTTGGTGTGCATGCAGCTGTAGCAGTTGTAGTTTTGTCTAGTCCCTGCTTGGGCTGATACTGTTAGGTCCTGGTAAGACATGGCCTAGACTCCTTAGTTCCTGAGAAGATACAGCCTATCACAGTTCACACTGTTCACTGCCAGGGCTGGTTTGTCTGTGATGCCTGAAACAAAAGGCTGATCACCCAGAGTGGGTGCACCCAGCACACCTACCCAAATCACAGATATTCAAGGAGCTAATTTAATCTGCACATTGCTCTTCCAGTGACTGTGAAATGCCTGTTTTCATAGCAAGCCCTAAGGGCACAACTGCATACAGAAATCAAATAGGAGAGCTCAGGCAGAAGGAGCTCTTCGGCAATAGCTGTGCTGGGATACCCCATACTTGCTGCTCTGGAAAAACTCCTTCTGGACAGACTTCTCCAAGAGTAAAAATTCTTCTTCCTTACTTGTTTAGATTGCTTTAATTTGCAAAGAGTTGCTATTACTTCAGCATACCACATTTAGTAGTGTTTTTTCCCCAAAAGCTATCGATTTACCTGTGTGGATTACCAGTATGGTCAAACTGTAAAATGCCAGTTGTTCACAACAACAAAACCAGACTGATATGTTACATATCTCAGAAAAACAGATTCTATTCTTTGATATTGTCTTTAGCTGAAGATAAATAAAGTAGAAATTGCCTCTTGCTGTATTTGTGTTCAGTACCTTGCATGCAGGAGCCCTGGTCTTATTTTAACACAAGACTGACACAAGGAGTTAGAATAAAAATTATCTGTAGCATCTCTAATGAGTCAATGAACATTTAGCTCTTAGATTCCAAGGACAGCAAAAGTTAATAGTTCATGCCATTATTAGTAGCAGCTTTGTCTAATGTAATTTTTCTTTCTTTTTTTTTTTTTTTCTTTTAATAAATAGGGATACACATTTTATAATAAAGCACAAGAGCACTCAAACCAAAAGCTGAATTTAAGATTTTGGAGGGCTTCACCTCTGTGAAAACATGCAGCATTTTTTATACATATCATTATCAAATTCTATAACAACATATCCTGGGTTTTTTGTTTTTTCTATCATCTGTGGCACAAAAGAAATGTAAATTCAGACAAATACAGATTGTATAATTTTAAAGTCACATAAACCATAAACCTTTGGTATCATAGAATCATAGAATAGTTAGGGTTTGAAAGGACCTTAAAATCATCAAGTTCCAACCCCCCTGCCATGGGCAGGGACACCTCACACTAAACCATATCACCCAAGGCCTCATCCAACCTGGTCTTGAACACTGCCAGGGATGGAGCATTCACAGCCTCCCTGGGCAACCTATTCCAGTGCCTCACCACCCTCACAGGAAAGAATTTCCTCCTTATATCCAATCTAAACTTCCCCTGTTTAAGTTTTAACCCGTTACCCCTTGTCCTATCACTACAGTCCCTAATGAAGAGTCCCTCTCCAGCATCCCTATAGGCCTCCTTCAGATACTGGAAGGCTGCTATGAGGTCTCCACGCAGCCTTCTCTTCTCCAGGTTGAACAGCCCCAACTTTCTCAGCCTGTCTTCATACGGGAGGTGCTCCAGTCCCCTGATCATCCTCGTGGCCCTCCTCTGGACTTGTTCCAACAGTTTCGTGTTCTTTTCATGTTGAGAACAGCAGAACTGTACACAGTATTCCAAGTGAGGTCTCACGAGAGCACAGCAAAGGGGCAGGATCACCTCCTTCGACCTGCTGGTCACGCTCCTTTTGATGCAGCCCAGGATATGGTTGGCTTTCTGGGCTGCAAGTGCACACTGCCAGCTCATGTTCATTTTCTGATCAACCAACACCCCAAGTCCTTCTCCGCAGGGCTGCTCTGAATCTCTTCTCTGCCCAACCTGTAGCTGTACCTGGGATTGCTCCGACCCAGGTGTAGGACCTTGCACTTGGCATGGTTAACCTTCATGGGGTTGGCGTCATCTTCTAAAAGACAGCTCCTCGCAAAACTCCTTGCCTTAAGTCACTGTGTTAAGCTGTTACCTTGCAGAACTCTTCTCCCAGCTGCTTTCCACTCCCACTTGATCTGAATACTGACCTTACTGCTTGATAGCAACAGGGAAGAGCACTGTTTTCCCATGATATTGCACAGGAGGGAGCAGTCTGGTGAAAGTCAGCAGATGTTGAGAACAGGCTCCCTTCGGATTTACACGGCAGAGGAAAATGAATACACAGGAAAAGTGAGACAGAAGTTGGGGAAATAACTGTAATTAATATATTCAGTTCATAGCCTGTTTCACTAGTGGCTTTTCTTAGTTTAAGGGAAATAGACAAAGTATCTTCCAGCTGTCACATTCATGTACTTTACCTCTTAATTCCGCTTTCAAACTGCTCCCTGGATTTCTAGGGATTTATGAACAGCCTGGAAAAGCTAACTACAGTTAAATGAGAAAAGCAGGCCAGCCTATCAGTAAATTTACATTCAGGATGCAATTTTGCAGTTTCTGGGGTTTCCTAACTGTACAGGGTTACTCCCTGTGTATCTGTGCATTTTCAGTTTTCTGTTAGTGCTTAAATTCCATTTTCTTGGACAGAAAAAGTTTGTATGTTCATGGACAGGTTCTGAGGAATGGCAGATAAAAATGGAAGGCTGTGACGCTGGTTTCTACCTCTTACACCACATAAGTCCTGTAAATGGCTAAGTCAAAATCCTCTCCATCTCCCTAGCCACTTCTCTTATGCTTCATGCTATTCTTAGACCGTAGAAGTGTCATGCCATTAATGATAATAAACATAAGGTAAAGTTCTAAGAGAACTGGGAGATCAAGTGCATCACCAGCAGCCCTGGTCTGTGCCATAGCAGGAAGCACTTTAGGTGGAAGTTAAATGAAACAACTGGCTTACTTGACATTTATTCTCCAGAAGCAACATAATGACAAGTGCTTTAAGCAGTGCTTGAAGTAGAAGAGGTAAGAGCTAAATTTGGTACCTGCTAGAAAATGCACCCATTTTACTAGCACAACTGCTGAGCTCTTACTATTAAGATTCTGCTGAATGTTTTTAGAAGCACAGCTGTTGCCAGGATGGTTTGTATTTTGTTTCATTTCAAGTGTAATGGTCAGATCTGTGAATCCTTGGCTTTTATTGGACACTGCTGTTTTCAAGGCGAGCCTGAGCACATTGCTGTTAGCTGGCACCTGACCTACTAAAAGCTGTCGGAAAACAAGAGGAATTGCAGACGAGAAAAGCTCTCCATCTGGTCCAGTAACAGGGATCAGCTCATGGTAGGGACCTCAGTTTTCAGAAGCTGAGGGTATCTGTGCACAACAGTCAGCTGTGAGCATGACTACATATATTTCTCATATGTAAAACAGAAGATGTATATGGCTCTTTATGACTTTGTGAAGCTTGCATCAGTTCCCTCAGACTTGAGCAGGACTGCTTGCTAGTGCACTAATAATATCCCAGCAAGGACAAAGCTGTTGTTTCTTCCAGAGAGGGCTAATTAGCAGAGGAGCTTGATCCTGTGGTTGCAGCATGTCCGCACAAAGATAGGTTAGGGTGTAGAAGTGTTTTTTGCACACAGATCTTAACTTGAGGTGCCACTATAGTATTGACACACAAGCCAGAACTACAGCTTGTATGAACACCGTTACTACTACTGTACTGGCTGAGGGGAGGAGGGACTGTAATAGCTGGCCTTTCCATGACATTTTGCAGGATCCTACCTTTGTTTCCCACAGAGCTGACACTGTGGTTTCTGACCACATGGCTTAATCCAGCTGTTTTTGTTTTAGGAAAGGAGTGGCTTTTCCCCTTGACACTGAAAAAGGAACCATTTATTATTTTAATCATAAAGGAACAATTATGGCCTTGTCTCAAAGAACAGGTAGCAGAAGACAGATGCCCTGTCTTACATTACTTATCCAGAAACCTCCTAAAATTTTGCAGCTTTGAAACACATACGAAGCTTTGTTCCAGGAATGCATACCTGCCTGTGGGAATACCTCTCTGGAAAGGAGTTGGGAGCAGACCAAAACAAAAAAGACAAAACCAGCTTTCTCTGTTAAAGCACTAGCACAGCAGACAGTATCCTGCCCAAAGGTCATTACTCATTCTTCTACTCTGCTTAAGTGTGTGCAGAGGCAATTCACCCATCTTCATTAGGGGATTAATGATGGATGGGAGTGTAGATTTGGAAGCAGGTGATCTAGGTGTTTCTGGAAGGAACCTTCATCATGATCTAAGAAAAAAACTAAGCTGAATATGTAGCTTTGTATCGCAACAGCTTCTAAAGGTGTTTAAGCAATGTCTCTGTTTTACACAGAATATATATAAAAGTGGCTTCCACTGCAAGTATTTATGTGGTTGCAAAGTAGTTACTATTCAGGTTTCAGGCAGGGTTTTTTAAAGTACTGTAAAATCCAATTCAGATTCTTGCTTTTCTCCTCAAACTCCATTTTGCTGTCAGAAATTCAACTTAAATACTTGAAGAACAAACAAGGGGTTTTTCCCCCTAAAAAGGGGGAAGAAGTTAAAGTGACAGTGCCAACAGCTTCTGGAAACAGAATAGCTTCTGTAAAGTCAGAACCATGCTAAGGAGTAGAAAACAGTCTGACCAGAAACTCCAGATTCAAATCCTGAGATAACATCAAACTTCGCCTCTGTAGAAGCAAGAAATTTCTATCATAGATTTGGAACTCTTGGCTTCCCAGTGTTAGAGCCAGAAAGTGGGGATGTCAGTGTCTCCCCTCTTTTCTAGATCTTTCAGCTCGGTTTTGGTACAAACTGGAGTATTTGACTCACGTTAAAATACTCTGAACTATTTTTAGCCTCTGGGGATATTCCACTGCCCAGTGAAAACAGCCTTTCCCTCTGCAAATAAACTGAGAAAGTTTGTTTTAAAACTGACTGGCGGTCAACATGAATGCAAGCTAACAGCACAGGCAGCAGAGGGAGATTTGGGAGAAGTGAAATGATTGTTTCCCTTGGGGTGCTGGGACTTTCAAAAGCAGCGTTAAGAGCGCCAAGATCCTTGTGTTACTGATCAGGTGAAGCTAGGGTGAATCAGAAAGGCCTGTGAGTATGCCGCTGTGAGCAGCATGGTCTGCTTCCAGGCCTGCGTGCTTTCCCAGAGATGGCCGCTTCCTCAGAAGAAGCGAGGAGATAGATGCCTCCGGGTGCTTAACCTCCGCCCCCCGGTGTGCCCGGGGCCGGGACACCAGCAGGTGGAGTCCCAGCACAAGGCTCCCAGCAGCAGGGGCAGGGCAGCACGGGCTGGCAGGCTGCAGCCCGCAACGCGCCCACCAGCCCGGCTGCAGAACGGGAGGACCTCAGGCAGGCTTCCCTTTGATTCACCCTGTGAGGCGGCGGCTGCAGGGGGAATACGACACGCACTTCTCCCATGTCAGTAGAAGAGGGTACACGGGAGGAGGCCTCTTGGCGTGGGTGGGGATTATTAATGGATTATGTATATCCCAAGAACTATAGAGCTCACTGAAGGCTCAGATCTTCAGCCTAGCCAGCAGATGAAAAATGAGTTTCTTTCCTCCCCGAGAACTAAACTGCCCTCTAGCTTTTCTTTATCTCCTATTCCCACTGTGATCCTCCCTTCCAAGTTTGGAGGCTGGCTCAGCAACAGTGCCAGCAGTGCTTCTCGCATCCAGAAAAGGCTTCAAAGTGTGAGGGTTTTTTTTTTATGCCAGTGTGAGTTGTAGAGTATGATTCTGAATTCTGTGTGTACCCTTAATGTTTGTGACTCGTTAGCAGAAAATGAAGGAAAGCCCTAGATTTTGGATGAGTAAATGCATTTAAATGCCAGGTTTTTGCATCTGATGGATTTCAGGTGTTTGTGTCCTGAATCGGGCTCCTGAAATGCTACCACTACCTTTAAGGTTACAAAGTCCACTGATGCAATACAATGCAGTATCTCTGAAACAGGATTGTGTAATCAGAAAATGAAAAAAAAAATAATAAAAAAGCTGTATGGGGAGGCACTGCAGATTCTCATGCATTGGTGTGCAAATGTTAGTCTGTTTAATTACACTAAATCTTTGAAGTCTTGTGTTTTCGTGAATCATAAGATAGCAGAATACTGATGCCACAGTCTATCCAAGGAGGGTTTGAGATCTCACAGCATGAAGTACCTGGTCTCTAGCAAATATTTGGAACAGCTCTTATGTATTTTCTATTAATCTTAGTAAAAGCACTTTCATATCAGTTAGTCAGATTTTTCTTAATGGTAAATACAGCAAATATGTGACTACAGTAATGAAGGCAGTTTTGAAGTAGTCCTAGAACTAGACCTTTCTTGGTGTCATCTGAGTCATTTCTTCTACATGGTTTGTTCTTCTGAGACAGAGAAGCAAACTCATGGCCCTGATATCTTTCCATTCACACATCATTGCTTAGGCTGCTTCAGATGACAGTGAAGAGAAGGAAAAAGGGCCTTGGAAGCACCATTTGATGATCAGAACTTGGTGAAGGCAGAAGGTTAAAAATGAGAGCAACTCTGCGCTGCATGGTACACAGTCAGCTGGAAGGCATGAGTTACCCAGTTCATAAGGAGGGCTAATGGGAAGTAAAAGGGAGAGTCAAACAGCAGATTAAAGAGGGAAATCACTGGCACAGGAGAATTCATATAACAGCCTACTAGCCCTGATTTAGTGTAAGCTTCTGACAGGCAGGCTGATAGGTATTTGTGACAGCCCAGAGAAGAACAGAAAAGCAAGTATGCCAAAATTAATTTCTGTGAAGGTGGATGTTTGCTTATAGTGTCTGTGTATACACCCACTCCACATATTTATATAAATGTTTTGATTTAAAATTAAAGGCATATAATTTTAAAATAAAAACTTTTAAATATGAGTCAATGGCTCAATTGCATCTTGCTAATCTTGCTGTGACTATGTATTTCACAAGGTCTAGAGAGGAGGAGACATCTGAGACACACACACACACACACACTTAGCATACACATGCCCTTAGTGAAGTAAATTGGTATCTTTGTTGCCTTGCTTCACACTGCGAGGAGTAAAGTGAAAAGGCATGTGTTTGGAAGGGTGGGGGCAACAGAAGGGAAACACATGTCATTCCACAGAGATAAAAGTTTGTCTTTCAGATATGTGCTAGGCTAAAGATACAAGAGATCTGGCTTTGGTTCATGTCTATGACCCAAGTCTTACTATATCACAGTGACCAGATAGTTGTGTCTATAATTTCTACTTTAAAACAAAGGGATTTCCACACATCCTGCATATACATTGCCTGATTGTTTTGCATTTGAAGCATCATAAACACAACAAAGTCCTGTCTAGCTAGGTCAGATCTGAGCTCCTACATGCTGAAAAGGTGTTAGGGGCACTTTGCTAGAAATTAAGTTTGTCTTATCTTTCTTCAACCTCTCATGACAATTCTGTGATGCCCCCACCACAAGGCACTCCTCAGAGGCCTTTTATTTTGGCTTACTCAGTGCCTAGCACAAACTTTCCATTTTGTCAAATCACGTTTTCCCACTTGGACAGTTTCTATTTCATTAACCAGCTCTTTTCTTCCTCTCTAGGCTTGGACAGCTTGTGCAGGTTTGGCAGCCACTGCCCCAGTGATACTCGTCAATCCAGGGAAGATGCATGGGAATTGAAGGAATGAGGGCATGAATAAAGCAGGGGTGCCCTCCTACAGCAGCCATGTTACACCAAGCCTGGCAGCTGTATGGAAGGTGGTGGCGTTGGTCCAGTCCTTTTATCCATCTCCTCATGCTGACTGTGGTGACATTTGGTGTGCTTGCACCTTTGATTTGCCACCGGCTCCTCCACTCTTACTTCTATTTGCGGCGGTGGCACCTGAACACTATGAGTCAGGAGTTCCTGGAGCAGAACCGGCAGGAGGGCCAGGCTGCGCTCCATTACTTTGAGAAGCTTCAGATACCAAATACCTCCGAGGCCTCTGGCAGTGACGCCTTCCAGCCCTTGCTGCTTGTCACCATTATCACTGTGCAGAGGCGGAATGATTTCCACTATGTCTTGCAAGTGGCCTCTCACTTCCACCGTCTCCTCCAGAAATGTGGTGCACATTGTCGGAGCCACCGCATCCTCCTTTGTAATGTGGAGTCAGACCCCAGTAGCCATCAGGATGTCAGGCTGCTGAGCAGCTTCTTCCCTATGGTCAGTCATGACAGAACAGGTGAGAACCCTGACCCCAGAATGAACCAGTTTGAGAAGGAGAAGCAGGACTATGTCTTCTGCCTTGAGCAGTCACTATTGGCGTACAACCCAGAATACATCCTTGTAGTGGAAGATGATGCTGTGCCAGAGGAGGAGATATTTGCTGTCTTGCAGCACCTCTTGTTGGTCCGGTTCTCCAAACCATACCTCAGAGATGCACTCTATTTCAAGCTTTACCATCCTGAGAGACTTCAGCGCTACTTTAACCCTGAACCCATGAGAATTCTCGAGTGGCTAGGTCTGGGCATGTTTCTGGGACCCATGCTGAACTGGGTGTACTCCTGGGCAACTGGGAGACCCAGCCTCTGTTGGCCTCTTGTCTTGTTCTTTGCTTTATACAGCATGGCTTTGTCAGAGCTGGTGGGACGGCATTACATGCTGGAGCTGCGCCGGCTGGCTCCCACGCTCTATAATATCGTGCCAGTCACTGAATGCTGCACGCCTGCCATGCTTTTCTCTGCTCCATCTGCCCGCCGTGCCTTAGGCTACCTGAAGGGGCTGCACTGCCGCCAGGGTTTTGCTAAGGATATTGCCCTCTACTCGCTGCTGCATACTAAGGGAGAGAACGCCTACGTGGTAGAACCCAATCTGGTCCGGCACGTGGGAATGTATTCCAGTCTTCGCCTAAATGATAACCCGAAACTGCTGTGACCTTTTCATGCCTTTGCAGGCATGCAGCCCAGAGAGCTTGCCACTGAGCAGAGAGACAGTGTGCAAACTCAGATGTTGCGCTGCTATCACTGGGCATCCTGTGCCTCCAGGTGAACAAAGAATAAGTCTATTTAAAAGAAAGAAGTTTCTCAAAAAATAAACTTACATATGTGCAGACCCTGTTTAGTATATACTTGGACCTAAACACTATGCACCATGTGGGAGGGGAATGGAGGATTCCAGCTGGGGGTGTGGATTGTCAACTCTCTTTAATCATTATTAGGGAAAAGCTCTCACACCAGTATAAACAGCCTGCTCTCCTTTACACTGGTTACAGAAGTCCTCACCTTAGGGCAACAGAAATGTTGGACAAACTGTTTCAAATTTAAACTATTGAGGAGGAAAAGCCCTTATTTTCCCATCCTTACTGAGGTCTGATCTCTGCCTTCTGTCTGTTTCTGTTTCAAAACTGTGGTTTTGAGCAGACCCTTCAAAAGCAGCAGTGGTTTATGTGAACCTTCTCAAAAATTTCACCTATATTCATCAAATTTTACAGGGCCTCTGTTTGTATCCCCCTACAGATCCTATCTGCACCTCCATCCTTCCCACTCTTTTCCTGGAACAGAGACTCCTAAAAACAGAGCTGCTGCTGCTTCATTAAATGTCTGAAGGCAGGAATAGGAAAGCAGAATACAGCCATTGATGTTACACAGCCAGATCACAAATGCACATTTTCATTGATACAATACAGACATTATGAACAATGTAGGATGACTACTGTGTTGGTTAGTATCATCACTAGTTGTAGTGTATCCAGATCATTCAAAAGGGTCTTATTAGTTGCTGACTGGACATTCAACATGAATTTACCTGGACTTCTGATCAGCGCAGAGCCAAAGGAGAGATTAGATCAGGTGTGGCTCTTGTGCAGGATCCCTGTTTCATTTTGGATCTCAAATTCACAGCTCAGCCCAAGTGGTTTATCCACTGCTCTTGGCAGCAAGCTGCCAAGCAAGCTGTTTATTATACCCAAAGGAAATGAAACTAGCTGTTCATAATAACAGTAGCACAGCACATCAAGGGGCCACTCTGATACTGACCCATTAACTTAATGTGCTCTGGTTGTTAAGCATTTGGGATGGGTACTTTGTCCCACAGCTTTGGGCACAGTTAAATATAAAGCCATGCAGATGATCTCAGACAGGATCAAAACTGGCACCAAAATGAAAAGCCAACCTTGACTTTAGCAGGCTTTGAGTCAAGTTCACTTTCATGTGGAGTTTGGTTGAACTATTTCTGAAACTATATTCCTATCTTTGGAATGAACCAAGTACAGTATTCTTGTCGAGTTTTGGTCAGTGGGGGTTGCTTCACCTTTTCTTTTTGGTGAAGGAAAAGTTCTACTTTGAATTTTCTTTCCCTGTGTCTCTTGGGTGATTTATGCCTTAAGCTTTCAACAAGTCTGGTTATACATATGAAGGACATAAAACTCATGAGAGACGAAACCACAGAAATTTGCAAACCTCCAGCTGTTAGTGTGCAATGGGTATCCCACGACACAAATGCATAATGTCAGTTAGCCAAGAAATGGCTTCACAACACAGAGCAGTCCTCTGCTCTTTTAATAATTATCTGGGACACTTTTATAATACCTTTGGAATTCAGATGTGAGGAAAAACTGCTTGTGGCTTCCATATCATTCCAAAGGCAAAGTACCTCTCTGTCAAAGGACACAGGAAAAATTGCACAGGCAGAGCCATGATTTATTCTTAGCTGCTGGAAACATCAAAGATACCAGAGTGCTCACAATGTCAGGCGGGCAAACCTGTTCTCAGGCTTTCTGGTACTATGGGAATATGGCAAGATTTGAGTATATTTCATTAAGCACTTGCGCATGGGAGGAAATACAACTTGTTTATGCATCTTCAGCTGTGGATGTTTCAGTGCTGTGTGCTTTTTCTTCACTCTTTTTCTGTCTTTGTACTATACAAATCCAGCAAGTGCCCTATTCTCTCCATGACAGTCCATTCATACTCCTTGCAAAGAAAATCTCACAACAAGGTACAATAAAAGGAACATGGAAAGGAAAGAGGAGGAAGGAAAAGAAAGAAATAAACTTTAGAAAAGAAACCAACTAACTATGTGCTGTTAATAAATGTTTTGATGTGGGAAATGATTTAACTATTTGTCTCAAAGTCATTTTCCTTGTTTGCCCTGTAGTACTGTGTCATCCCAGAATTTCAGGGGAGAGAAGTAATTTTCCTGAGCTTCATAGCTGGAAGTTAAGAACATTAATTTGAGACATCCCTTCTAAACTAGAAGACAATTTTCAGGGCATAAGAGATGAGAGAAGTTGACTGGGACACGAAGCAATACGCAGACGGCTTGCAACTTGAACCTGCTAGTGAGAGAGTTTCAGATAAACCCATTGAGAATGAGCTCCTTTGTACATGAAGCAGGTTAATAAATTCTTCAGATCTTTCTGGAATAATTTCCTTGAGTGCCCAGTTCACCTTTACAACAGAGGTGCTGCGTTTACTGAGCCTGCTGGGGACTGTTTTTGAGTTACTCAGGTACTTGCCCAGTGTCAGCCATGCCCAAGTGGTGTGTCAGGCAAGTGTTCCTACTGCTGCTGCCTCTCAACTTTCACGAGCAGATTGATTTTTCTTATTTTCCTGTGCCATGTTTTATTAGAAATGACAAGTCAGAGAAGTGTACTTCGCCCTTGGAACAAAAAATGGGAGGTTACTGTGAGTTCCTAATTCCTGGTGGATTTTGTTCCACAGTTTGAGCAGTTTCAAACACACATGCCTTTTTGGTCTCTTTTTCACTACGCAAGTGGAGCTGAGTTGGCATATTTCATGTTACATAAGTTCAAGGCCCAGCATTAACTCCTTGAAACATGGCCTCGAGAGTTTGGTTTTGCTCACATTAAAACAAACTTAGTGATTATTTTTGAAACAAACAATATGGATTTTCTTGTTGTTTGTTCATTCCAAATAATTCAGAGACTATTTTTCAATGCAGGAACTACTGCTTGCACAAGAGGAGTCTTTCCTGATGGGCCAGACAGCAGGACTCAAGGTGTTATTGTCCAAGATGTCGTGGTTCAAACCCAGCCAGACAACTTGTTCACTCACTTCCCACCCTTATTGCCCTCCCCCTATTCCTGGAGGGACGGAGAGGAGAATAGAAAAGAATGCAACTCCCACGGGTTGAGATAAGAACAGTTTAGTAACTAAGGTATAACACAAATCACTTACTGCTGCCACCAATGATAATAATGATAAAGGAAATAACAAGGGAAGAGAATACAACACCTCACCACCTGCCGACCGATAACTCGCTCCCCCAGCCTGACCAAGCACCAACCCATACCTCCTCCAACCCTGCAGTCCTAGCCCTTCCATGTAAATCTCAGTTACATCCTGGGCATGACGTGCTGTGGTATGGAATACCTCTTTGGTCAGTTTGGGTCAGGTGTCCTGTCTCTGCTTCCTCCCAGCTTCCCCTCCTCCCTGGCAGAGCATGAGGCTCACAAAGTCCTCGGCCAAACCAAAACATCAGGCTGAAAGTCAAAACACAGCACTGCACCAGCTACCAAGAAGGAGAAAAATGACTGCTACTGCTGAACCCAGGACACAAGACAACTCAGGGGAAGTTATTCAATGAAACTACCTTTGTTTCCAAGTTGATCCAACATAAGCATGATTCTGGCAGAAGATGAAGCATAAATTGATAGATCCCTATTAGACTGGAAGCCCAAGTAGATTTTGTAACTGCTGTAGGGTCAATGTCTTAGTGAGAAAACATTAAAATTGAAGAGAGGACAAAGCCTTCCTTTGAGTTTTGAGGAGCTGTGACTCGCCACACAGGGTATTTCAACAGCAATTTGGCTGGATGCAGGGTGAACTAGTTTTTTTCTAAAGATATTTACAAGCAAACTCTACCAAATAAACAACCTTTCTATTAAAACTCTGTTGTCTCTTCCTTCTGTATGACATTGTTCCTTTTCATGACAGGCAGATCTATATCTTTACTTACTATATCTGACTAGGAAAGATACATCTGTGTTCATGCTTCTCTGTGTATCTGCATGGATGTAATAATTCAGATTCTACAACAATTCAGGTTGAAAAGGACCTCTCAAAGTCCCTGGTCCAGTTTCCCACTCTGAGCAGGTCTTACTAAATCAGGTCAACTCAAGGCCTTCTCCAGTCAAGTACTGAGGCATTTTAATAGGGACCCAAGACATAATTAAGCTCTTAAGTGCTGAATTTAACCTTAGTATACTTTTGAATGGAAAGGCTATGTATTTCACAGGAAAAAAAAAAAAAAGGGTAATTTTCCGTGGGAGACAGTTGTAGTTAGAGAGGCACAGGCAGTTTCTCTCCCAAAGTTAAGAGCTTCTTTTGTGTATTTCCACACCAGCTGTATAGATGACGTATCCAAATACAGCAGATGGCAGGGCCCAACATGTGGTTCTGAATAATCTTAACTAAAACATACATCTGCCAAAAATGCATACAGAATTAGGTACTCCATGGCCTGTGCTTCTTCACTGCAAGTGTCTCTGTTGCCAGAGTAACTTCATTTCCACAAACTATCTGTCGTGACTGCTCATGTTTCAGGAGAATCTGCCCCATCAGCCAGTTTATTCATGGACCTGTAGGCTAAGAGTCAGGACTATCAATGTGCATTTCCAAGACTTTGCTCTGCATGGCAAGCTATGAATGCCACATTCCCAGCTGTGTAGCCAGTGGTGTTTTTTTAAATGTTGACAAATAAAATTGAGCATTGTATTGTCCTGCCCTGTTAGTAAGCCTCTGGGCAGCTATATATTCTTCAGTGCCTACTTTCTCTTTGACTTTCTGCCATGGTGTCCAGTGTTCTTCCAGCATATGCAAAAACTACATCTACAAAGGGCATTTCAGCAGAGTGGTCCACTTCAGACATAAGTTATAGTTTGTATTTTGCAATGTTAACCTGCAGCACCTAAGTATACTTCTTTGGGGGGACACTGTGCTGCTTAGATAAACAGATAGATAATAAACAGTTAAGTGTCTTCCATTACAGCAGCCAGTGGTTTAAATGCTTGCTTTTTAAAAAACAAAATGTCAACAGGAAGGCAGGGTCATGACTACTGCATTTGTCTTCATGTCCTCTTACAGCTACTT